GCTACCAGGAATGATTCGCAAATGTCTCCAAGCAATCAACAGAGATTGCATGGCAAATGATTATTTGTGTTCTAGGTCGCCTTAAAGAGTTTTCGCCCCTAACATCCATAAAGCTAGACTTGAGTGAGATAGCTGGCATGGCCTTTGCCGATCACTTCAATCATCATCATCATCATTTATTCACCCTTCAGGGCCCAAACAGGGCATTACATAAGAGGAAAGGGCGTCACAGAGTTCGCGGCACGTATGATTAGACAAACTCTACATACAACACCCTTCATAAATGCAGTAAATACAGAGCACATCAGTACTAACGATCGCTGAAAAAAAAGGTGTTGACACAAGATTGCGAGCGAGGGAAAATTTAAAGCATAGGGCAATAATTACAAAGCTGTTACAAGATAGGGCAATTACATTGAGCTATTAGAAACAATTCAAACAGGTGATTATAAACAATTGTAGCAGTTATAAAAATGTATAAAAATGCATGCAATTATAAAGGTGCTTAGCTGAAGTTATCTAAGAAAAAAGCGGGCCTATAGACTGCTTAAATTATTTTGAGTTCATCTCAAGGGCATTGGCGTCAGGAAGGCAACTTTAGTCTTCAATGGCTGCCGGCAGAAATGATTTATTGAATGAAAGGGTCGAACCATGAAGGCGTTGAACGCTGTTGGAGTTGAACAGGTGGCGAGAAGTTCGAGCTGGTGGAAGTAACAGTGTTTCATGTAAGTGGGAGAAGTTGTGGTATAATTTGTGAAATAAGACAAGTCGGGAGATTCTACATCTTGTTGCTAAAGGGTGAAATTGAGAATAGATGATTTTATGAGCGTTGCGCTGGCGTGTGAACTATAGTTCGATGAAATAAAATGGGCAGCACGACTTTGGGCACTCTCGAAAGAGGCGATCAAGTATTCTTGATAGGAGCTCCAAATGGCAGAAGCATATTCTAATTTGCTTCTAACAAAGGTTTTATAAACCTATTTTCCAATTTCTGGAGGGGACAGGTGCAGGGTTTCTTTTCAAGTAACCTAAGGTCCTGGACGTATTGGTTACAATATTTGTGATACGCTCAGACCATGACAGTTTGCTGGTAATGAGGACACCAAGATATTGGTTAGAGGTTGTATGAGATAGACTTGAAGAATTAAGTGTGTATTGATGTATCAAGTTACTCTTTTTGCTTGAAACAACCATGCGTTTGCACTTTAAGGCATTGGTTTCCATGAGCCAACGTGATAACCATAATTCTATTAGGTTTAAATCATGTTGTAATAAAGACTGGTCATTACTATTCGAGATTCGCTAGTAGACAATGCAATCGTCCGCAAAGAGGCGAATAAATGACGTTATACCGGATGGCAAGTCATTGATAAAAATGAGAAAGAGAAGCGGGCCAAGGACTGATCCCTGGGGAACGCCGGAGATAACTTGAACGGGTGTTGAAAGCTTACCGTCGATGGCTGTGAATTGAGAATGTGCTGTTAGAAAACTTTTTATACATGATAAAGTAAATGGATCAAGATTTAGACAACTGAGTTTAGCCATGAGACACCGATGAGCCACGCGATGAAATGCCTTTGAATAATCAATGTAAATGACGTCAGTCTGAAAAGAGGAATCCAAGTTCAAGTGAAGGTCTGTGGTAAATTCAAACAGTTGTGTTTGACATGGTTGCCCAGGACGAAAGCCATGTTGCTTGCGGAATAATAAAGAATTGTTATCGAGGTGACTGGCGACATGGGAATAGATTATGTGCTCCATAAGTTTGCTTGAAACACGGGTTAGTGATATAGGCTAATAATTTGACATGTCAGAGCGATTACCTTTTTTGAAAACCGGGGTTACCGTCGCAGTTTTCTAATCCTCAGGAATTTCACCTTCTAAAAGGGACTGTGCAAATATTATTTGCAAGATTCGACTCGACACGTCTCTGGTACTATAAGAAATTTCGCAGGAATATTGTGAGGACCCGGAGTAATAGGTGTTTTTAGTTTCCCGGTTAAACGCGAGATTCCCTCTGCCGTGATAACGACTGGTCGCATTACACTGAAGTTTAGATCAAAAGCCGCCGGTACATTATCAGCACGTTCGGAAGTGAAAACAGATGAAAAGTAGGAATTCATGACATTTGATCATCATTTCGGAACTGCGAAAAGTGATACTTCTAGCGGCAATGGCAGCGTGAAGGAAACAGCCCGCTGCAATGCCATTTGCAAAAGTGCATTCTTTGCGCCTATCCATGAGGATGAAGTATACAGAGTGTACATGGGATTGAAGAACAGTAGAGCTTTAGATATAAATAACTTGCAGATTAAGCCCATAAAATATATTTTAAGATTTATTTTTCTTCTACTGGTACACATTTACAACTTAATTTTAGAGACTGCAATTTACCCAAGCGCAATGAAATACGCTAAGGTTTCAGTTATTCATAAGGGTGGTGATCGGAATTCTGTGTCAATTACCGGCCGATATCTGTACTCCTAGTTTTTTCAAAATGTATAGAAGAGCTCGTAGTTACTCGAATGACAGACTTCTTAAATAAAAAGAGCATTCTTACTGACTCGCAGTATGCCTTTCAAGAACAGGTCGACACAAATGGCACTCCTAACACTGAAAGAAAACATATTGCAAAGCTTTGAATATAACTGCTACACAGCCGGTATATTCATAGATTGTAGTAAAGCTTTCGACAGTCTTGATGACGAGATCCTTATTCACAAATGTTTTCTATGTAGATTTCGTTGAAGACCGCGAGCATTATTTAAGTCGTATCTTAAAGAACGGAATAAGTGTGTCTCCATCAATAACCACAAGTCATCCTATTTACCTGTTGTATGCTGTGTGCCCAAAGGCAGTATTCTTGTACCACTTTCACTTAATGTATTTATTAACGACGTTGTAAATATAGCCAATGATGCAAAATTTATAACCTACGCAGATGATTGCACATTGTGTGTGTCAGGTCCTGATGCCAACAAACTTGTCAAAAAATGCAATGAAATTATGGTCAGTTTGTCCAACTGGACTCGGGCAAATAGGCTTAAGGTAAATACAAACAAAACAAAAGTTATCATGTTCTGCGCTAAAAATAAATTACTCATCATTCGTAATGATATTTACTTTCAGAATCATCGTATTGAGTTGGTTGAAGAGTTGAAAATTCTCGGAGTATATTTTTCTTCTGGTTTACGTTGGGATGCCCGCATCAATTATCTTTGCGGTAAGCTATCTGCGGTTACCGGTGCTATGGGGCGCTGCCGTGCATTCTTGAGTTGGGGGGCAAATCTGCAAATTTATTACGACCTATTCCTGTCATATGTACACTATTGTTACTTTGTATAGGCAACAACTTCAAAATGCAACATGCAAAAACTGTTAATCGTCCTTCAGCCACACATGGCATATTTCTCAAACATAAATTACACCATGCTGACAGGCTATACGAATAAAGATTATTAGAAAAAATTTATTTCTTATCCAAAAATGTTAAAAATACTTTACGTGACTTGCTAAGCTAGAACTTCACAACAAGAAACTCTGAGGTATGGAAGGTACCTTGGTCCCGGAACAACCTGCAATCACTAACCTGAAATCTTTTACTCATAATGTTCCAATGATACTCAACCAGTACAAACACACAACCATATTAAATAAAAAACATCTGCCTGACTACTTTTTATCTTTATAATAAGTCATTACTCTGCATTCTTGTACAAAGTTTCATTTTTACATTTTTTATGTACGTGGGATGTATGCCGATCTGGATGTGTAATGCTTTCGATGCGGATGCTAAGTAAAAACGCTTGGTGACATGTGTCATATATGTTCTATTGCCATGCAAGGTACCCTGGGCCTACGTCAAGCTGCTGTGACAGCTTTTTGCCCAAGTGTCCCTTCAGATTGTTTTTCTGGTAAATAAATTAAAATTGAATTGAAATTGATTGTGTGCCAATACAGAATCATAACTTTCGAAATGACCACAGATAGAGAAGTCAAATATCCAACTGAATGTAAAAATATTTTCATAAAGCTTAATGCTTAAAAATTTTAAGATAAGATAACATGGTATTGTACACAATCAGGTGTTTTCCATCATTAGAAAAATCAAGATATTTATTACGTTTTTTTCTTAGGAGGGAAAACACCTAATTTTTTGCCGACACTGAAGCAGCAGTAATCTATTATATGAAGGTCTGAAAAATGTTTATTTATAAAGTTGCTGTAGCATATTTCCATGTTTTTTTTTTCAAGAAGCTAATGAATTACTGACCAGTGAAGTTCTCAGGTTGATAGTAAACCTGCATTTTATTTTGAATGCACACCTGCACTTCTAATAAAATGGTTTATTGTGTATGCATGTATTTACTGTTTTTACTGAACTGAAGGGAATTCACGTATGAAATTTCATGTGTTATGTCAAGAAGGGAAAAATGTTCTTTTAATGTCTTGATCATTTATGACAACTCAGAATGCAACCCCAAGGCACAACACTGTAAAAGCACTAAGAAATCGTGCACGCCTCTAAGGACTCCCGCAGCCTGTGTTCCGAGAGACAGCTGCGGTTATTGCAGGTTTAGAAAGACCAAAGAGAGAAAAAGATGGGAAGGGTGCTTGTTCTTTTGAGTTTTTTGTTATTATTTTTATTATTCCAAAGCAGCTTCAAGCAGTGACGCTCATCAAAAATACTTGACTGCCTTTCACGATGCCTGGGTTTGATTGTCAGAGCGGGCAGCTCTGCGGGAAAATTTCTTTTTTTTTTCCTTTTGGCATTTTAATTGATGTTGACAGAAATTGCCTCAAATCATGATTGACTCCATCATAAAACACCATTATGTTAAATTAGCCAAGCCAGCTAGAAGGAGGAACAAAGCACTGTTCCTTCTTTTAGCTGATTTACTTATTACTGCACTGTATGAGTTTGCGTATATGTGCTTCCTGAGAAAAAATGCATAAACCAGCCATGTGTTCCCTGACATTTGTTCATCCTTCTTTCTCAGCCCTGTCCACAGGCCATTTGTTGGGCCAGCTTCTGCCTTTGGGTGCAGGTGGGAGCCAACAAGTGGTGCAGGTGGTGGCAGCCAATGGCACAGTGCTCACAACAACCTTGGCCAACCTCCCTGCCCTTTCGCAGCAGCTCTCTCTGGCCGCAGCTTTGGCTTCGGCCAGCAGCAATGCAGCCTCCAAGCAGCAGGCTGCTCTCACAATGCCACACCATTTCCAGCAAGTGGCACATCCACAGCAGCAGCAGCAGCAACCACACAACGGACACGGTGTGTAGCAAACGTTTAGTTTTGTGTCTGCATTGAAAAATTACATGCACACTCACTATGAGTGCTTGTTTGCCAGTACCTTTCGTAAGTGCAGGCCCATGAATGAAAAACTTCTGAGTTATGTTTGTTTTTGCATATGCCCAGCTTCAATGAAATCTCCTCAATACGTACCTGCTTTAAATTTACTAATGGGTAAAACACAAAGTAAACTTGTTGAATGAATTAGTTATCATTAGTACTTTGTGAATGTTTGAAAGTTTTGAATAGTCATCAAATATTGCATTTGTAACATTCTCATTCAATTTGATAACCACGCACTTGAAAATTTTGAATGTTCGAACTAACTCGAACATTCTTTGAATATTCTATCTTCACGAACATTCGGTCGCATATGTCACTGTGAAGAACTTCCGATTTTGCAAATTTGCGATGAGAACATCAACACTAGATAATGCAGTAATTACTACGACTTCGGCAAGTGTGCGATAATGCCTGCACAGAAATTCACGGGAGCGTGATGATGCTACCGTTGAACGGGACAAACCTACCAACAATAAACATCTCAACCAATCTAGATCATATATGGCAGTATGTGTGGCTTAGCGGTTTAGCACTGTTGCTGTTCGTGTAAACATACCGGCATACCATGCCGATCGCTGCCATGCCATTGTGCGTGGGACCGTCTCAATAAAGTGCATATCACTCGTGGAAATGAAGGCAACTTGCCGTCGCTGCATTGGCCCGACAAAATAGTCATCGCACCTTTGCTCAATCCCATGCTGAGTGAGCGCGAAGAAAAAAAGTAATAACCATAATTTATTTTCGCTTGTTTTTAATCTTGTTGAGTTTACGTTGTCGACTTACAGATACCACAAGTGCAACTTCATAGTTCATGTGGCAGAAGACAATGTTTGCACAAATGAGCCGCGTACATCCGCCAGCACGAAGAAGAAAAATAACGTCTCTGCGCAAAAACAAATGTTATAGGAGCATCGCTCACCAAGTGAGCCTAGTAGGCTACGCTCTGAGTGTAACTAGCTCGGGGCGTGCTCAGCTTGACCTTTGACGGTAACGCGTTTCGTGTGTAGTTGCACCACTAATGGATCCCCGTATAAGCGTGCATGCGTTGAAGCTTGACGAGACGTCCGTCAGCTGTGCTGCTATTTAAGCATGTATTCTCTTTATAGTTCAGAAATGATTTCTAAAGCTCATGCTTTTTTCGGCAACGTTACGGCGGCGTCATCACATGTAGCTCTTTGTTACTAAAAGCGACGCACATAAGGTGACGGACAGAAATTCGTGGATGTTAGCGCGTAGTTCTGCTGTGTAGTTCAACAGCGCCTTTGGAATTCCGTCGTACGGGCATCGCGCGGCAGCGTCTCCTGCAATCAATCCTCCCTAATACCGTCAGCTTCCTGCCGTCGGCAGCCAGTGTGCCAAAGGGGGTCGTTATGCGCAACAGTGTGCCGTCGCCTCTGGGAGTTGTGGCTTCATTAACAAAAACGTGTAGTTGGGGCGTCTTATTCCATCACACATCAGTAAACGTCTATCTCGCCCGCTTGTCCAACGTGGCTTACTTCGTGTTATCAGCGCACCTAGTACACCTTGGTCACGATCGTGCCGCTATCAGCGTGACAGAGCACCCTTGATAGGAAAATGACAAGTGCACATTACTCGATAAAGAGAATGGAAGCAAGCCAGATAACAATTGCTGTGTAGTTGAAAGGTGCCCCAAGCACTCCTATTTGCCTTAGTGGCTCGACTGGTGAGAACAAGGGGGAAAATTGAAAAGATAAGCATAAAATTTGGAGCCAAAACTGATAGTGTGGGAACCTGGATGAATTGTGTTAATAATTGCTTAGACTCAAGTACACGGGAGTTAACTTTTCACTTCATCAGAGTATGGCTGCCATAGCAGGGATCAAACGAGTGGCCTCATGGACTATAGTCATGATGGCGGGTACAAAATCTTTTTTTGTAGTAAAGTGCTTCCACATAAAAAAAAGATGCAAAAAGTTTGTTAAACATGTGAATTAAATGCAAGACATCACAGTCACAAGCTCAACTATTACACTCATCTGCTTCCTGGCAAGCACAGATCGTGACTTTTTTTTTTTGCAGTAACAGACTACAATAGCTAACAAGTGTACTGTTTCCAACATAAATATATGATTGAGTAAAAAATCACTGTTTATTATTCGGTTTGTATTCGAAGTGATGTATTCGTATTCAAAAATTTCGATATTCGCCCACCCCTGGTTATTATAGAACGAGTTCATAATACTGAAACTTAAAAGAAAAAAGTAGGAGGGAGCAGAAAGGTCATACCTTTCTGCTCCCTCCTACATCTTTCTTTGCCAATGGTACTGACTGTGTACCATGCGATGTGGTTTCTCTAGTGATTCAGGCTATTCAGCCGCGACTTAACTCACTTTGTACAAGCATTGACTGTGTTCGTCTTAGCTGTGAAAACACATAGAGTGTCTGCCAACAAAGATTTTCAGTGAGCCAATGTGCGGTCACCGCCGTGTAGTGTGCTTTCGACGGAGCATGTATGCATGTCGCCATTGGCAACCAATGTGAGAAGGTGCTCTGGTAAAAGGTGAGTTATGGAATGCATCTAGTAAACTGTGATTCAAAGCATTCTCACATTTTGCACACATTTGTGATTACTGAGGCAAGTGCAATAGCGCGCACTTGTCTCCTGCCCTTGTGCAGAAAGTGCACGGACGAGGCGTGGTAACATTTCGATCTGAGTGTCTTATCACACACTATTTGCGGCAACACCTCACCCTAGTTTTCAAAGTGGTATCACGTGGCCAAAGGCGAGCGATGTTGTGCCATTGGTTATTACGTTCCCGTTACCTTTCATAAGGGTATCTATGAGCTCTGTTGCCGCTATAACTTTACTGTTCACAACAGCCGAGGTTTGCGTGGCCTGCTACTTTGTACCAATAATGTTCTCTGCGTGTACATGATTATATTTTAGGAGCAAAGCTCCATATGGGAAGACTTAGTCAGTTGTTAATCAGTCGATCCATCCGGCATACCTTGTAGTGTTCCCTTATTGTACAGTAGAAGGTACTGTCCCATAGAGAGGCATGCGAAACTGCAGTTGGTTGATGATATGCTACAGTCGAATCTCGATAATTCGAACTTGGAGGGGTCCAAAAGTTTGCTCGAATTGAAAGAAGTCTGAATTAATGAAAGCTAAATGAACGGAGGGTTCACCATGCAGTAGTGCATGTGCATTGAGCTTACACACGTGAGGAAAGTTTTAGAAGACTTACATTTATTCACAAATCACAGGACATTCATCATTAATTGAAGTATTCGGTGATGTGTGTCTGTGCACATTTGCCTTGCAGCGAGTCAATCAATTTCGTATGCAGCTTGAAAAGCATTTCTACTTCATCTTCAGCATTCTCCTGGCAAGGGAAATTGCGCGCGGCAATGTCTAGCGCCGACACTCTCTAAAGACCATAACAACGACAGCGTCTCCGCTGCTACCCTCTGCGCCGCAGTCGCAGCGTGGCCAGCACGTGACAACAAAGTAGGAGCGTCTCCACGCAGGGAGCAGCAGATCGGCATTTGAGAAGGAACCAACACTCCACGGCAGCTTATTTTGATTTGTTTTGTTTGTTGTTTTTTTTGCTCTTTTTACACGTGTTGTTGAAAAGAGAGGAATCTATGTGGCAGGGAGAGGAAAAGGGGAAGTGTGGCACTGGTGCGTGAGAGAGAGCCAGCACGCCGCAATAGCTTTCTGTTTTTTTTCCCTCTTTCTCCACGTGTGGCATTGAAAGGAGAAGGTTCTCTGCGTGGCAGGGAAGGCAAAGGCAGAAGCGTGGCACAGGCGCATCGCAGATCGGCATTTGAGAAAGAGAAAACATTTCACCGCAGTCTTTTCCATTTCTTTTCTTTTCCTTCGCGCCCAGCGTTGAGGTGTCCGAGCCGCGGGATTGGGCATGGTGCTGAGAGCATTTTCGGAACGCGGTATATTCGAATTAACTATCACAAGTGCTTGCACGTTCGAATTACTGGGCGTTTTCGCCCATTCGAATACACATAGCTCTGACAGCACCACAGCGTCACTTCTAATTAACTGAAAGTTTGAATAAAGTGTGTTCGAATTAATGAGATTCGACTGTAGGTGGCGCTGTATGCATTCTGTGTCGTCATCCCCATTTTTCGTCTCATTTTCGAGAGGGCACTAGCTCTTAGACATGCATACAATATGGTGGTTGGGTGAAGGTATACTAGATGGCGTTGGCGGTGCTGCTGCGCAAGGCTGCGTGGGACCTCATTCTCATAGATCGTCACCGTACATGGAGCAGTGCGCTTGCCGGATCGTGCTTAGTTGGACGCACAGATAGATGCACGTTCAGACGAACTCACATACAGTCGGATGGACGCACGGACAGACGGAAGCACGGTTGGACGGATGCTTCACTTATCATCATTTATTCCGTGGAAATGCCGTGATTTTTTTTTCGTTTCTCTTCTTATTCCTGTTTCTAAGCGTATGCAGATTTACAGATACATCAATATGTGCAAATGTTGTATATGAATGGATGTGGATATGAATGTGTACATATATAGACTGGAAAAATTGGGGGATCCTTATGCTTCGCCTTTAAGAGTTTAGTACGATAGCGATATCCTGTCCTTCGTGCATACTGAGTTTAAGATGGCTTGTGTCAGTGAATCTTTTGCATATGGCTGCATTCTGTGTAATGGGTAGCATGCTTTAAACCATAGGCAGTAGACCTTATGCAAAATTACTGCGATCTGTCGGCCGTTATGTGCATAGCCGTTAGAGGCTGCGTGCGGCGCAGTACGCACATGCCCGCCTGTGTTTACGTACAAGTAAGGTAAGGCGTTTCGACGTGAAGCATGTATTGGCTGATAATCGCAATGACGAGGTATTGCTGCGTCTCTTGCAGCACACAGAAAGGAACTCTCAATGTTGAAGAAAAAAAAAGGTAAGCCGTAAACTTTGTCCCCCTTTTTTTTTTTTTCAAGCTAATAGCGTTTCCAGCATGAGCTGTGGCTACTCCTCCCAAAATACGTGTTTGTGTTCTCCTTTCTAAGCAAGTAAAACGTGCAATAGCATTAGTATTCATGGTCACATAAATTACTGCACGCCAAAGCAAGGCAGCTTTGGCAACGTTTTCGCTATCAACTGTTTACCAAGTGAAGGCGACTCGTACATTTCACGCTAAAGTCGCCTTCACGCAACAAACCTTATCCCAGCGAATTGCTTGTGCCTACATTTCGTTGAATGTGTTTTGTTTATTACGCTTAAGGAAACGGCACACGCTCAATCAGAAGCAAGTGCGCGTCATTGGATTCATTCTGAGAAGGGAGCAATGGTGCTAAAGCGTTCTTTTTTTGTGCTGTTCTGTTCCTCTCTTCTCGAGTGTTACAAGCAGCAGTTTAGTGGGATGACTAGGCACGTTTTTTGAAGCATTCATTGTGCTCGGCATATGCAATGAGATGCAGGCACGTTAAATTAGCCGCCATAAAGCCCGTTGCGTGAAAGTGGCTTCTGCGTAAAGCGTACATATCGCCTGCAGTTGGTAAACGGCTGCTAGCAAAAACATTGCAAAAACTGCCTGGATTAGGCATGCAGCAATTTGTGAGAACACAAGTACAAATGCTATTGCACGTATTATTTTGCTTAGAAAGGAGAGCGCGAGCATGTATTTCAGGAGCAGTTGCCGCAGCTCATGCTGAAAACGCCATCAGCTTCAAAAAAAAAAACCAGGAAACCAAGTTTACGGCTTACCTTTTTTTTTCTTCAGCATTCCGAGTTACTTTCTGTGTGCTGTAAGAGACGCAGCAATACGTTGGCGTTGTGATTATCAGCCAATACACGCCTCACATTGATACGCCTTATGTGTGCGTCTACGTAAACACGCGAACATGTGCGTACTGCACCGCGCTCAGCCTCTAACATGGCAGCTATGCACACAACAGCCGACAGATGGCAGCAATTTTGTATAAGGTCTTTTGTGCACGTCAAATCGTTTCGAACTAGCTGTGCACCCACTATGTGACTTTAACTAAAAAGGTGCAGTAAAATTAGTGCCTTTTGCAGTGGGTGAATTCATGATAATTGCATGGCCTGACGACGGATCACAGTGTACGCTTGTTCCACACATTATTGCTGCGACATCACATGATACATTGTGAAGCATGTATACAGGACACATGTGTTCGTAATGCATGCAAGTTACTTTCACTGCATTTCCAAGCAGAAAGTGTTATTGTCACTGTATTTCTAAGCAGACACCTGGCTCTGTAGTAGAACACTTGCTTGTCACGTAAACGACCTGTGTTTGATTCTCACTCAGGCCCAGAAACTTTCATTTCATATTTTATTTGCATCTTTCCCGATTTCTCAGTCACGCATAAAATTATTTTTCGCTCACAATCAACGAAGCCTACAATGACAACCACACCGTGATTTCTGCGAAACGAGTTCTTTAATGCATTAATGTGTGCTGATGTTGTATATCCATAGATGTGAACATAGTAGGCTTGTGCGAATAGGGAATTTTAGGTTTGAAGTAAATTTCGAAGTGAAAAGAAATTTTGGACGAATAATTTCGAATCAAGTTCAGTGTCACATATCATAAAGGAAAGTGAGCATATTTGCCATGACTCAACTAACCTGTACAATATTTTCTTTTATTTCTACTAGGCCTGTGCAAATGCCATTCTTTTTGGTTTAAAAGGATTGGAAACAGGTTTAAGTAGTAGCAGAATTTGACTTTCCGTAGATTGCTAGTGATCACCTATAGCATATGTCACGTTTTATAATTTACTGTACTTAAAGCATATAAGATAGTATAACAAGTGTTTAAACTTTCAAATTATGAATTTATGTAAGGTTAATATGTTCATTTAAACTTTGGAAGTGGTTTAGGCGAGGCGCGGCGGCAGTGCGGATCTCCCTTGGCACTCCTCTGGTTTAGCACTCCTCTACTGCAGTGGAACCATGTTTACAGAGGGCTACATGTGGACTAATATTTAACTATTCATTCATTTTGATTTTCAACAATTCAAGTTAGAATTGAAGTGAATTCAAATACTGTAATATTCTCGAATATTTGAAGCATTTGAATATTTGAACTATTCTAGAGTATAGAAGTGTGTAGAATATGTTTTAATGAGATCTGACAGACAATCAAGGGAGGGAAAGTATTGGGTATGTTATTATAAGTAATTGCAATTGTAAATGTGAAGGAAGAAAAGTGGATGAAAAGATAACTTGCCTGAAAAGATAACCTGCGACCTTTGAATAAAGCGTCTGATGCTCTACCAACTGAGCTACCATGACAACTATTCCTTGGTTCACTTTATAGGGTAGGTATGCATATTAGCCTTGTTCACAATGGAACAGAAGCCTTGTTCACATTGTGAACAAGGCTCTCGTTCTGGATGCCGAAGTGTCTTTATATTTTTATTGTGTTGTGGTCCGTATTTTTGCAGTTTTTTTTTTTCAATGCTTCTTCCCATTCAGACGGACATTCGTCTAAACTGAGCTTTTATGTGTGATAAATGTAAGAGAGTCAATCAGCACCACTAGTAGCCATGACAGCAACTGTGGAACACTCTTTATTTACCTGTTTTGCATCAAGTAGCATGTGAGCTTATTACGTGCTGGCAGCTGACCAATAATCTAGTACACTACCTGAAGGCACATAGTCTGCCAGAACGAGATCCTTGCTATGAATGAGAAAAGAAGTGTGCATCTAAGGGCTCGCTTTTATTGAGACACAATTTTGACGAGGTCTAATAGTAAATCACATATACACATATCCACTTTGTGTGGTATATATGTGAATTTACTCTCTTCAGACACGAATTATTATCCACTGTCTGCAAGTGTGTATAATTAGCATGCCATGATTTCAAGGAATAAAATGAAAGAATGTGTTGTTTTGAGTGAGTTTCTGTAATGTTAATTAGCAAGTAATTTGGTATGTAATTATTTAATAAGTCAGCATCAATTTTTGCATAAAAAGAATGAAATATTGGGTTAAAGTGCAAGAACACTTTGATTTTAGATTGCATGACGTATGGCTGACATTTGCGGCCGACGTTTACTGAACCAGGTTTTGGTGCAGCAGTTGGGAGGCGATTCGGAGCAATCACCATTGGACTCATCTTCAGCAGAGAAAGCAGCTTGTACTCACATAGGGTGGGCGCACTGAAAAAATGTGTGTAGTTGTGAGCGCGTCTGGAAAAGAAAAACAAGTCAGAACTCGAAACAATTATTTCTCTTGTTTCCAGCAACATCTTTTTATGAATCCCCAGCAGAGAATACACAATCACAGTGGTGTTATTTATGTCAGTCACCGCCTGCATGAAAACAGGCATAGTTGCGTCTCTAGGAGAAATAAATGAGACAGTATCAAAGTCGTCAGCCTATGAAACATTGTAAACCAGAAAGCCATTAGTTCTGCGAACTCAGTACACTGGAACCATATAAGAAATGAAACTGTAACTCTTTGGCACACTGCTCTAGTTAAGCATAACGAAAGAACGGAGAGACGTCAGTGAAAGAAAAAAATGTGCATATTCCTGCAGCATGGCAGCACGTGCTAAGCAGGAGAAATAATCAAAAAAGGTGCGCTTTTTAAAATATACAAGCGATGATGTACATGTGGATTGGTTAAAATTGCTCTGCAAATGATCTGTAGGACTTGCAGTACTGGCTCAATGCATGTGTAAAGTTTTGCCGAAACAGCCATGAACGACTTGACCTGACGGGGACCTCTAATTGTATTGCTGCAGTGACCATGGCAGCCCATCAACAGCTCCAACAGCCTCTCCAGCAACAGCAGCAGCTGCAGCAACTGTTTGCTGCTGCACCGAGCAACTTTGCTGCTGCTGTGGCACCTGGTGCCTCCTCGGCTGCAGTAGCCTCAGTACCTCAGTTGTATGCCAACATCAATGGCCAGCTTGTGGCTGTGTCACCACAGGTGAAGATCATCTTTTTTGGCAAATGCCTTTTTTTTCTTTTGCCAAATGCCCATGTTGAAGTGTCACAATGGCTGAGACATTTTCAATTCTCCGCAAGGACACTTGGAAAATTTCAAATATTTGGTCAGGTGACATATTGACTGCTTTCATTTAGTCGCATTGTTGTAAACTGCTCTTATTTGTTTAAGAAAAGAGAGTGTTCTTGAAAGCGGAAAAACAGAACTAACTGGTTGCTAGCTTGCTGTGAGCAACTAGCCAAATTGTCTTGAAACAGTGGACACAAAAGCCATAGGAAGGCTGAGATAGAAGTGCTGCTCCAAACTGCTCTGAGAAAAGTAGTACAGCTTGCTCCGAACTGATTTTTGTTAGTAACGGCTTCAAAGCTGCTGCGAAAATGCACTGGGAACTCTCATCATGGGACCATGCAGCGAGCCTAAATGAAACCAAAAAAAAGCTGCATACTGTCATCCTAGTATGCTGGCCTGCAGCTTGTATGCAGACCGCTTATAACTAGAGGTGGGATTTATAGGCACTAAAAAAATCGGGTTTCAAGTGCGACAAATAGGCCCCCAAAATTATAATTATAGACACGATAAATCTTCACAAAAATTCAAATTTATTAAGAAAGACGTATGTGGCCTGTGTCTACGACAGGAAAACAAAAAAGAAATGTTATAAGGGCACAAAGGTGCCATTGGTTTAGCATATCCCGCACTGTATGCATAACACAGTCTCTCCTTAGTATGGTGAGTTAAGTGTCCATTGTCGAATAAACATGCTCTTTTTGGTATGGCTGAAAAGGGCAGTACAAGAGCTCAGACTGCTCAAAAGCCACAAAAGCCACAATCCGCAGTCGTCCGCCGAGAGTTTGGCTTTGTGCTCGGGCCGCGTGATGGCCGGCACACGTTGGTGTAAGTTGAATTGATGTGTTGTGAAGGACTACACCACAGCATTGTGGTGTAGTCTTCCAGTGAAGCTGACATTGTGCACGACACTTCTTGGAGTTAAATTTGTGTCGCGCTCGCACTTAATCACGCCTGCAACCTACGCCAACGCTCGCAAACACAACTGCGCTGCTGCACTCCCCGACCGCTTCTGACAAAAAAATGGCTGCCTACCCAGAGTGCATAGCATCGCTTCCGTTCATGCAAGCTCGCTATACTTTCACCCGAGACACTCCACGGTATTGCATTCCTTCTCCATCTTCCTGTGGCTGCACAGAGGCACCTCCTGTTCTTTGCCCCCCCCTTCCCCCCCATCATACACACACCCAGGTTTTCCAGGAGATGCTTTAGTACTTTGGTAACACTGGACTAGAAAATCAGCTGTAAAGCCACCCGCAACATCCTTGGCCATGGACACTACTCGTCATTTCTTCCTTTCTCCTCTTCCCACCTTATATTTTTTCTCTCCCTATTCCTCTGGAATGCTCTCCCATTTAGGGTTGCAGTAGTAGCGCATTTTTCTCTTTGCCTCTCCCACCTCCAACTGCTCACGTCATCTGACTGTGGTGGCGTAAGGTGGCCGGCATGTCCAATTTCACTGCTGCTAGTGATTGCTTTTCGGAAATTTGTTTAAACTAGACAACTAGGTTGTACCCCATAGAGCTCTGAAAGGTCAATGTTGCCCTTTTACATGAATAACGGTTTTACATTGTAGTGACACGCATCCCGAAGGAGTACGGCCACTAGCGTGGGTCCGGTCTTTAGCGAGCCGCAGGGCACGCGTTAAACGTCGCCATGGCGAGAACACGATACTGCTTAAAGTTGCAACACTTTATCATCTGTGGCAACGCTAAAACGCAGTACAGCCCGTTGGAAAGGCGCGGCGGGAAAGCAAACGGGCTTATCCACGCCATGGGCATAAAAGTACTACACAGGAGGCCCAGATCATGTCTCCGTGATAAAGGTGATCCACGGAGACACCGGGACCAAGGCCCGGTTGCTCGAGCAAGGGCAAAGGCGCTCGCGTTGGCTTCGGAGAGATACGGGTCGACGTAGCCTGGCCATGCACTAGGAACCCGCACCACTCTTCTGCCTAGCGTTTGGAAGGGGGGTGCGACATAAGGTAAGCGTTCGCCGCGGGCGCAAGGCACTTTTGGCGAAGTCCGAACGAGCCCCCACAGGGAGCTGACGGACGAAAAAGAAAAGCGTCCTTATCCCCATGTCGTCTCCGGAGATTCTCTGCCCGCTCCCGACGCAGCGCGCAAAAACCTCTCGGGAGACTCCGCGCGCGGCGTCACAGTCAACATTCGCTTCCGGGTGAGGGGGTTAAACGTCACTCCGCTCTCTCAGCGCGACAGACAGCGGAGGAAGGGAGACATGTCGGCACATGGGAACAGCAGAAAAGGCGGCAAAGCCCGCGCAAAGGCAGCTGGCTAGCCTCAATTCCCACGACGTGAATAAACTGCACTCGAAAACGAAATATCTGCTTTAATAGCACTCATATAGGCACTGATTTGGAAAGTATGCATTTATAAGCACTTATAGGCATTTAGGCACAAACGCTAAAAATAGGTGTTTATAGGCACTATAAAAACACTGTAGAAGTTTTTTTTATCCTTTAATTTATCCTGATTGCTTTAATTTAACCTGATCCTTTAATTTATCCTGATTGCTTGCCTAATTTTATGTTGAAGTCTTCTTCCCATGCAGTGTCTATGTACTTGAAAGTTATTTTTGAAAAATCGTTAAAACAGAGTTCTCTCCCAACTGATTGGAAAATGGCGTCTGTTGCTCCTATACATAAATCTGGCCCGCAGCATGGATTTAGGCAGGGGCTATCATGCGTCACACAACTGGTAGAGTTCACCCATGTTTTAGCAGCAGCACTGGACGACAAATTTTCGGTCGACTGTATTTTCCTCGACTTTCAAAAAGCGTTCGACACTGTATCACACTTCTTATTGCTGAAAAAAACTAACCAGCTTTAATATTAATCACCAAGTTATTGCATGGATTGCTGAATATCTACATGAGAGGCGACAATATGTAGTTGTAAACGGCGAACAGTCTGAAATAACTAGTGTTACGTCAGGGGTACCTCAGGGATCAGTTCTGGGACCATTACTTTTCTTATTATATATAAATGACATTAACGAAAACGTACAATCCCATATTAGGCTATTTGCAGACGACTGCATTTTATATCGTCAGATTACCTCTGAAACTGACTGTTCCGTAATCCAAAACGACCTATGTGCAATATACGCGTGGTGCCAGCGATGGGAAATGAAACTGAACCTTAAGAAAACTGTATGCATGAGGTTTTCCAGAAAAAGAAACCCAGGTGAATTTGAATACACAATAAACAGCTCTCCGGTAAAAATGGTGCGCGAATACAAATACCTAGGTGTTTTCTTTTGCCCCTCTCTATCATGGAATCGGCATGTGGATTACACTGTAAATAAAGCTTGTCGGAGCTTAGGATTCTTAAAAAGAAACACACGTGCTTTTCCACAGCAAACCCGAGAGGTACTATACAAAACATACGTGAGATCAGTACTGGAGTACGCATGTTGTGTGTGGGACCCTGCAACATCATCAAATAAAGAAAGATTAGAAAAAGTTCAGTCTATGGCGGCGAGATATGTGTTTAATGCACCTATGTACGACAGACAATTCAGTGCGACGGAAGCTAAGCTGAAGTTAAAATGGAAGTCTCTGCAGCACCGAAGGGCATCGTTTCGACTGAAGCTATTGCACAGCATATTTTATTCTCATACTCGAATTCCCTGTGACGTGTACATAAGCCGGCCTCACTACATTTCAGCCCGCAAAGATCATGAACACAAGATAAGAGAATATAAATGTAATACATCGTCCTTCAGCAACTCTTTTTTTCCGAGAACTATCAGTCAGTGGAATCGACTTCCTCCCACAATTGTAGAAATTTCTTCAACGGATGCGTTCTTTTCTGCAATAAAAATGATTGAATCTTTGGACCGCTAAGCCCTGTAGACTACGTGTGTGCGCCTGGCAGTCGCCATGATCTGTACGGTATCTTGGTTGTAAGCTATGTTGTTTTGTTTTAGTGTTAATTTGCCCTTGTGCTAGACGAATGCTGCACTTTGTTCTAATTATCATGAGATTTTCATCAATTTTTTTTTTTTTTCTAATACATATGACTTTTCTGACGCATCTGTGCTCGGTGCAACTGTGTATGTTTTTGTATTTTGGAAATCTACTTCTTTTCTCTTTTTTACTTATGTGAATGCAATTATGTGAACTTATGTGAACCTTTTCTGTCCCCCCCCCCCCCCCCACTATAATGCCTGTATGGGCGCTGTGGGTACTAATTAAATAAATAAATAAATAATAAATAAATTCATGCTCATATATCAAATTCAGTGATGAAACCGCTGCTCCAATTTCTCCAAACTGCTACAAAAGAGAAATGCTGCTCCATGCTGCCCCAAACAGCAACATTTGTATGTAATTGCTCCAAACCTACTCCGAAGTGACAACTGAGAGAATGAGAATGACAAACCTTTACTGTTGGACCGACCGAGAGTCCTGAACAAACTGAAAAAAGTGTGTGTGTTATCATCCCAGTGTGCCACTAGTGTGCGCATTATCGGCTCTGATCTCATCTATGCGAAGAGAACTGGCATATGAAGCATACAGCTCATTTGGCTTTTTTTCCTCAGACATGCAGGCTAGTGTGTTAAAATGTGAAAGTGAGCAGGACTGCTTTTATCTCATACTGATCATCTACTGCTTATTTGGCAAAAGTTATGTGGGACTGTTGTTACTTCTAAAATTGGGCACTCAGATTTTCTGGTTTGATTTGATTTCTGCCACAAGTACTAGTGTTTGAAATTATAGTTTATTTAACAGCACATTTTTGACAACCCGCCAATGTTTGCTTTATGAAAGTTACATTGATTGTTTCAACTCCTTTGTCACCACACCTATCCAAATTGATCACCAGTGATCCATGCTTTGAATCGTCATTTTTGACATGTTAATTTTTTTCGCCTGCACCTAGCACTTTGTAG